ATGGCCCCCCCTCGAAAGCCATTTTTTTTCGCATGCCCCCCCCCCCAAATCCCACCAGCCCCCCCTACCTCATAAAAAATGAACGGTCCCTTATATAACGATTTGAAGAAGTCATAAGTTCGCCGATGGCTTGTAACGAGATAATTGTTTAAAAGTCGGAACATAGTTAATAGAGTGGTTATGAAGCGCGGAAAACATCAAAGGAGCAAAAAAAGTAAACAACTATTGTGTTTTGTGCACGGCCAAGGCCAAAAAAGCGAACACAAACATACAACAAAGAACCTTGTTGGGTTTTATAACAATTCCTCTCTATTAACTATGGTCGGAATGATATGTTCTATTTTTTATAAAATTTATTTCTTAAAATAGAGTATTCGAAAATATACACCAACCTGAAGAGTTGGCTGCGAAATTTCTCAAGTATATGTACTTTGAGTTTAAGGCCCCTTCCACGCCACGTCGGAGAAATTTGAAAACGGCGTTTTCACTCTGAAAACGCATCAAATGTTTTCCGTCCACACTACGCCGGAGGAATTAAAAAAACACAACAATCACCGGCCATATTGGATTTACGTTTGAGGAAAACTCCGTGAGGGAAATCACATGATTATTATGACTATATCATTTTCGAAAAACTCCGTTTTCAAAATGTTTTCCGTCCACACCAAAAAGTAAAGCAGGCGATTTCAAATTCCCCCGGTTTCAAGAGCGTTCTCGAAAAGCTCCGTTTTCTAAAGGTCGTCGTCAAGCGTCGCAGCCGTTGCTATGCAGCGTTCCCTCACGTGCAAAGCGTGATTCACGTCACGCGCGTTCTCAAGTCGTGCGTCGGTTGCAATTCTGCACAGTTTGTGGTCGTTACATCAGGTTTTTTTTTTTCACGTTTTCAAAACTTTTGTTTGCGTGCTTTAAGTAATGCACTGTAAGTCTCGAAATCGAATCACTTGTCAAGCGCAAGATCTGCGCGTGTATTTTGGAAAGAATTTCAATGCCGCGTAATGGCTATATCTGAGTCGGTTGGGCCTGAATTGAAAACGTACGTTCTTTGTGAATGAAACAGGTTTATCGGGTTAGTGTTCATCGATCATTAATGAAATAAACCCCACTCGACATCTCCAGAAATGACCAGTTTCATACATTGTTCGTTGCGATGACTTAGCAGTTTTGAAAGATCACGTAGCACAAAAGTCTTATGCCATGCTTTAGGAAAGCGCTCAAGCCTACTTTGGGAGTTGATCCAAAACTTCGAGTTTGAGTTCTGGCATTGCTCCCTGCGTTGTTTTTTTACGCAAGGCCAGCTCTCGAATACCTTCTCCCCACCCAGTTTTATAAACGGGTTGTAGGAAACTGCCCATGTTAGCTAAAGGCACCCTTGCGAAATACTGCGGGTTGTCTTGTGATCAGCCTTATCCTGAGGACATAGTATTGAATCCTAGTCGCTTCATGCATACACAATACGCATTTAAAAAGTGTTTCACAAGTGTGTAAAATAACTAGATGAGCAGGTGATATGGGCCGATCATTCGAGCCTAATTTTTAAGACTTCAATTGGCTAGCTGGTATGAAGAGCAGGCAATTGCAAGAAATAGTATTAAAAGTTAGGTTTCAGTTTTAATGTGGAATCATAGGAGACCTGAGCGAAGGGGAAGAAATGGCCACTTAACGCACAATGTATCATTGTACGGGAACCGTTAATTTAAACGTTGGTCAGCCGTTTCAGAAAAAAAAAACAAACAAAATGAAACTCCGAGCACGTTTCACCCTGGAGACGGAATTTACCACGTGTTCTCGATCAGCTCAAGTCACGAGAAAATGAAGGACACCCTTATTTTTTCGCGTAGTGATGCTAAAGGAAGTTTCCAAACTGCAAGGCGAAGTGACGTCAAAGGGCCGCCCCTCGGATTAGCGTGCCAAAGAGAAGGTGGTCAAACGTGTCGCCATGATGGCGGAGGTTTTTGCGCGCTGAGCTAAATACAATAAACTGATAATCGAGGGCGGAATAATACCCCAGCAGGGGTGTTGAGCAAAGAATACAGAGAATGTCGAAACGTAATCGATTGTTATAAATAATAATAATATCGCAGATAAAGGGACACGTAGAGACAGAAATTCGTTAATAGGTCAGTATCATTTCGAGTGGTGAACAATTGCTATCTAGTTCAATTTCGCTGGATACGTTTCGAGTGACGAGGTCCTCGCTTTATCAGTCTTGACAAGCCGTGGGTGAGTATGCAGTTATAGCAATTAAAAGATAGCCAAGGGGAAGTTTTCTAAAATTAAGCTGCAATTTTTTTACCGTGTTTTGGTGATATTTTGCATACACGGGGCGCGGCGGCACGGAAAAGCAAAGAGTTACAGGATTTCAGGCTTCGCCGCAATTGCGAGAACCTCGCTTTGTCAGACTCTTTTCGTTAAGAACCAATTTTTAATTATGCAAGATATCCAAAGATAGATCTAAGGAGAAAGAGAGACAAAAAAAGACGCAAAAAAATTAAGCCGGTAATATCATACGTGATACCATTGACTTGCTAATACCGCTAGAAATGGAATCTCCAAGGTTACTGAACATAATGAAAGAAACGGCAAAGTCATACATTTAAAACAATAACTTCTAAAAGATAACTGGAAAACATAAAATCCACTCTTTTACAATACAGCATATTTCACGTGAAAAGAAAAGTGTCTAGGAAACATTGTTTCGACCTACTAAATAGCAAATTTCATGCACTAAGTTTGTACCGTAAGACACCATTCAAAATCCTGCCTATCAAAAACACCGTGACACGCGCCTGCATTAAGTTCGCATTTTTACGAATCACGACATTAAAGAAGTAAATTCTGGGAGGCTGGGTGTGCGATATAAGCCTTTGTTAAAAGTCAACAACGAGATATTTTGAAACAACAATCAATCCAATATCAAAAGACCAATGTTCCAAAGTGAGGCATATTTCACACAAGCAGGTTTCAAATCTTTGGTGTAATAACGCCAACATTGCCGGCACAAAGTTAAGGTATTTTCAGACTTGCATGAAATAGCAAGATTTTTTTTTACAGCAACAGTATTAGAAATACTAGGATCGAACAAAAAATACCCCCAAAATTAAACAAAACAACTTGAAAAGAGAGATCAGTCAAAACAAGTTCGGAGGGAACGAAACACTAAAATTGTTCGTGTTCGTATTTTACCTTTTTTAATTTCGTTCTTATTGACTTTCTGAGAAGGCTCAGCTAGTTTAGAATGGCATTGCGTACAAAATTTCACTGAAAAAACTGATATATACCCGGATAAGGCCCTTGAGCTCGTGAAAGACATGTCAAGCAGCGCTCGCCATAAGTTAAGTAGGGTAGCGCCAGCTAGTCTAGCCCGTACAGTGAAAGATCAAACAAGGGGGTTAGTTCAACTACGTTTTGATCCGCGACTTTTCTAATGGCACGTTTCCTTACATTGTTTGGCGTAGCATTGTTTTCATATCCAGTGTTGAAATAGCCCCCGCAATTGTTCAAAAGACCGCACTTGAACTGGCTTGCAGTGACATGTGCGGTTAAGCTCGGCTAAATATGAGATATTGTCATCAGTGGGTTCGTATAAAGCCACTTATCTCCCAACAAACGCCTTACAACGCAATGTGTTTAAGAAGCCCCAAGGGGATGACAAAGAAAGCTAACTTCCCGCAAAGATCTAATGGGGCTTGCTTTTGAAAAAACGAGTATTTGACAATCCGGTAAATAGGTCTTTTGTCTTTTCATCGCCTCTAGGCATAGCTAACAGTTTTCAACGCGAATGCTATATCTTAATAGCTCGTATTATAAAAGTGAGTCTTGGCACCGTTTCCTCACGGAAGAGTTTAAGCGACGCATTGACACAACCACAAAAGATACTTAAAAACATTCTAGGAACGGATATCCCAGTAAGACATAAATTAAGAGCGTTTCTTCAAAAGAAAAAAAGAAAAAGAAAACTTAACAGCATCATTTTTGCTTCATTGATAATCCCGTGCGCGAATTGACATTTTAAAAAATAAATCTCACGCCTTGACCGAGAGGTATGATTTACTGAAGTTTGTGCTGCTTTCACACGATGACAAGAATTCTAAATAAAATACGACGTTTTGTATCAAATCTCTGTAAAAAAGGCTGAAAATCGCTGTGTGTGTTTCAGAAATACATAATTTATTCTCGCAATCCATCAACAGTAACTCAAGAGATTACCCGGGCCTGCCACCCGAAAGTTAAGAGATAAAGATTATTTGTTATATTTAAGATCAATTATTACAAAAATTTCCGACGCTTTATTTTGCCGTTTAATCGACAATATGGCTCCTTTTGTTTAAATAGGGTTTAAGAAATGGACAAGCGTCTTACACATCGGAAACAAGCCAAATGAAAGATTATCTTACCCTCGCCATAATGTCTGATAGGGTATGCTGGATAAGGCATATTTTCCGGTAAACTTCCAGTTTGTTTGGATCAAGGGTATTTGGGCCTTGTCCAAAATAATTGCAGCAGTTAGTGTCTACATCGGGGCCAAATATGTTTTTACACGGATTACAAACTCCACGGTGAAGACGGTATTTAACGAAATCCGCATTTTATGGCAAAAATAAATGTGTCCTTACAAGAATAAAGTTTCTCCGCCGGATCTTTACATAACCAACCTTACAAGAACTTTGTCAGCATGTTACAGCCGTTGTTTCCATTGCCCACAGGGTGAAATATAAATATATTATATCAATGCAGCTTGAACTAAAAATATATATGCCACAAGCAAGGCCAAAATAAACAGACTAAACCTCTGAGAGCATTAACGTGACCCCATCATGACAAAATTCGGACTCGTAGCGCGGGTAGAAATCCAGATTATAAAGCGGTGTAACCTTGTGTAAAGTAAATTTGTCCTCAGCACACTTTGAACTAGATTGAAAGGGTGAAAGCTTCGGCGCGCGACACTTCATTTGTCTTTATGAAACGAAATTAGCAATCCCGCCCATAGACGCCAGTTATACAACTTTTAAACCTTCACATAAACTCGAATTCCATAAAAGTTTTTTTTAAAACAGTTTCGTGTGAAATATCAGCGAAGTCTTTTTTGCAAAATTTTCGCCTACTTTCTAGTCTTTGTTTTGTTTATCCGTCTTTGAACCCATGCGTGACAATCGTTAATTGAGCATATAACCAGTGAACTACACACTCATTACAATATGAATAGATTTATTTCGATTCATGGACCCTCCGTTACAGCATTGCACCACAGACTTTGCCTTCGTGAATTCTGAAACGAAGAATAGAAAAACACCATCACGCTTAAAAGCCTAAAACTGGGATGTTATGAAGACAGAAAGTCTTCACACAGGTAAGAGTTTTACAAACTTCGCCCGATATCACGAAAATTGACAGGAGACTGCCGTATTTTCCTTATGTTCGTATGTTCATACTTTGTTTCTTTAATGTAACTGAAATTTACCCGCGTAGCAGAAGAAATGCTTCAACGAATACGAAATTGTAAAACTTTAGTGGTAAAATCTGCAGTTCTGACATTTTACGCGTTTTCGAAAAAGGAACTCAACTCCGACACGGCAATCAACTGTACTTGCATTAAACATGAAAATATTCGTCCAATATGTAACATTTTTGGCACGAGCTAACTTATAATGGTTTAAAGTTTTAACTAGTTTATCTGAAAATGCGACAAATAGCTTTGCAGAAGCTTTCAGACTGACACAAGATGCTTAAAGGATTTTACAAGTGTGATCCAACACAACACTCCGAAATTCTCTAACGATAGCGTGAATGTCATTGTTGAAACTTCTTGAAGAGGTAAGGTTTTCCACTCGAAATTTTCTTCAAATATCTCAATGTTCATAATAGCTTTCAGCTTAAGGAACATGGCCGGAAATCTTGCGGTATATATAAGTTGTTTTGGGAGGTTGCCTGGGTCCACTTTTGTTTCCTTCTCGAACACGCACGGAATTTATTGTCAGCGACGACTTGGCGAAGAATGCTAAGTAAGAGAAGAAAACGATTTACAAAGACCTATGTGTAGTTCAAAACATAAAAGGACCGCTTACTTGAAATCTCTGGTGATTCGAGAAAGAGTTCTAAAAGGACCCATCAAGGTGGATTAAGGTTTGAAAGGTTATAGAAGATAAAAGGAAAGTACCTGTCGACTGGTCTGTCTCTCTTGAAAATCGAAGAGTCGATTAAGCCAAGATTTTTTTTACTAAGTTAATTGTCATTCTAAACACAAGGCAGTGTTTCAACGCGGGGAGGCTAATATTCTAGCCATCAGTCGATCGGTTATCCACGAATTCTCAAAATACTGCAAATTCAACATTACCTATCTTAAGACCCCCAATCACTAGACCTCCATTGTCGTTGGCGACACAGTGTCTCCGACTCACAAAACACCTTCGCGCTCCCCACAACGACTAATCGCTCTCTATAAGCTCTCGTAGACAGCTTGTCGGTAAGCTTCCGGCGACAAAAAAATATCGCCGATTTCGCGCGATTTCGCGAGAAAACCTCGCAGATTTTCTCGCGATTTCCCCAGTGAAGAACAAACACGGTCGATTACTTCGTTGCCACTATGACGCTAAGACGTCAAACGAACTTTTCCGCGGCGGCTAGTAAACAAATATGGGCTTAAAACACCGGGTTATTAAAATTTGAAATGCATATGCGGTGTGCATTGTGTTCTGGCGCCAGCGAGCCGTGCATAAAAATACCCCTCCACTCTCCCGGGGAGAGTAAATGGAATGGATTTCAACTGGCCTGTCACACAATGAGACCCTCGCTGGCATTAATTCGCAGATAGCAACAAAATCCCCACTAGGTCCAGTATGTTTATGAACTTATCAAACCCTAAATAGTCTTTCTTTTGATATTTCGTCCTTGCCCGCGGAGTAGTTTTGCTTGTCGCCTACACGTCTTCGTCAACACGGTTTTCCTTAATCGCCCCACTTCGTGACGTAATGTCCGCAATGTAAATTTCTATTAATTTAATTATACGTTTAATAATAGAGATATGTCAATCATCGCAGTCGAGGCCTCCACGTGCCGGGGGTTCGTAGACTTTCTGTCGCCAGTTTCAGCGGTTTATCGACCAGACTGCGCCATCGCGGTGCCAAGCAAGAGGCATACCAAACCTTAAGTAAACCTTGTGGCGTTTTGATATGTCAGTGGATTTGACAACACAAAGAGCTCGCCCTTTGTTGCGGATTTAAAATAGCTTGAAACACGCGTCCGAATCACAGAATTTCGTTCCCCCCTATCTGTACGAAAAAGAACACAAACACGGCAAAACAGCGCCAATCAATAATCCCTAGGGAGAGGACCTGTTTCCAGCTGCCAGTCGGGGTAAGGAGAATCGCGCTTTTGATCAGCGCGTTGCGACGATGCCATAAAGCAGATCGATTTATACATTTTCGCTTATGATTGCTTTGTTTTGTCCTGGCAGATTTTTTTCCACGACTCCGAGTGTGTACAGAAAGCTACGCTGGCTGTGATCGTTTGACGAAGAGGAAAACAAGTTTTATTTTAGCGACGTGAATTATCTTGCATCTCATTGAAAAAACCAGAGGGGAGCCTACGTGGGGAGTCTGTTCTTCTCAACACTTGTGACTGTGTTTACACTTGAGCTACCGGCGCATGTGACAGACTGCGTTCATTTGCTGCGATGGCTGCTCAGCGTAAGCGACCCAGAGAAACTTCTCCGTGCAGAGAAGGTACAAAATTTCAAAAACTACACAAAGAAACACGGCAAAGAAGACCATTATCGCTACTGGATTTGAGTGCCCAGTGCGTGGCAACTTATATTCCTTTTCAGCACGTAGAAGAGCGGAGCGCGCCTATACCCGAACCTGTACAACTCAAAGTAGTTTACTGGTCATTCCCGAGAAATGAGCGAGATATTTGTATGTATTCGTCGCTTCACGCTACAGTTACACATAACGATGCCAAAAGACTGCCGTTTCAGAGAGGTTTAGCACTTCTGGAGGAAAATGCCGTCAGCGAAGTACTTCAAGTCGGTAAGCGAATTTTCTCTGTTGTACCCCATTGTAACCACTCTCTATTCCGACCCGTACCGTTGCAAAGTAAGACGAAAAAAATTATTTCACAGTCGAATCGCCAGAAAGCTTTACAATTTTCAAAACAGTCGAAGGAAAGTGGTTTTAAGGCGTTTTCAATAGAATTCGTGGGCCTCCGTGCTTAATTTCATATGTTTTTTCGCCCTACGGAGCGTCAGCGCCACTAAGTCTAGTATCGATTGTAAAGAATAGTAATGAATGACCCTAAGAGAGCGCTATCTGTTTACTCCGAAATACCCCAACAAAATTCCGCTTTGATGGAGCTTGGTTGTTATCGCTTTCGGAATCGAAGCTTTGCAAGGGATTATTTTCTTTGGCTTGCTTAAGATCTACCGCTCAGTTTTATGAACGCAGGGTTTAAAAGTCTCACGGGCTCTCATTTATTGACGTGAAATATTCACCTCTAGCGAGTGGGACAGAAAATTTGGTATCGACCAGTGAAATTAAACGCTCGCGTTGTCCACTGATGCCGCTTCAACTCGTTTAAATTTCTCTTATTGGAATATTGGAATATAACTTAAACGTTTGTAGTTTTTTCTAGTGCTTGTTGTTAGCTTAGAAAAAAAATCTTCCTTCTGTTTTAAAACGAGTGGAAATCTGTTGTTTGCACTGCGCTTGCCTTAAGGATCAGTGTAAAACTTCCCCTGCTTGGAAAAAGTTCGCTCTGGTTTCAAAGCTACCCGGTTATATGTCCTTCGATTTAAGGTTATAAAGTGTTCGATCTGTATTTTACTAAAACTACAGTTTGTTATTCGCTCAATTCTCAGTCAAGATTATTTATTCGTTTGCTTTGATAAAAGGAAAAAACGCCTACCAAGTTTGAATTTGTCATTAAGAATGAGGTTCAAGAAGTTTGCTTGAGCAAACACGAATAACTAAGAAAACTATTGATCTTACCGAGCTGGAATTTCCATATTTCATTCTCCTTGCTTTTAAAATAATTCGTAAATCCGCGCAGATTCGATTTGATTAGCTATGAACTTAAAACGTTCTTATCCCAGATCAAGGCTAACATAATTTTAAGTCTTTACCCGCGCTTTGCCGGGCAAACGGCGGCTTAAAACCAATGCGCAAATATCAAGAATTTGTTGTAAAATTTACAAATTTTTCTTTGTATTTTGAATCGTTTTTCGTAACATAGGCTTCGTCCTCAATGCTTTTGAATCTGAAGATTTCAAGACGCTTGAATCACCAAACCCTAACTCTAACGCGAAATATCTTGTGAACCGATGCTACGCCGTTTTTGCCTCCTTAAACTTTGACGATGTTTAACCGTTTAGAAAAGCTATTTTAGTTCGGTTCAACGATGTTCAACTGTTTTACTATTACAAGAAAAAACTACGTTTGTTTATTTTAGGCTCTACACAGAGCGAATATCTGGGAATATCTTGGCTCGCGCTAAGCCCATGCCTGTTCCTTTACTTCAAATGGAGAAAAATAGTTTTCACTTCGGTACACTTCTGCCTCCAAAAGATGGCCTAAATAATGGGACATTTAGCCGATTGCGGGTTGAGACGTTCCAGTTTTATTGATTCAGAGATCAAATCTTTACTATATTTTGTCAGATTTCCGGTGGCACTCTTAGAAATGGCTTAATTCCATTTTCCACGGTTTAGACTGAGTATCCAGGCACAGGCTACGTCGACTGATGTGAGCCGGATTTCTTTTCCTTTAGGAAACGCCCTGTTTGAAATATGAGCGCTCCAAAGGTGGCTCTGTGAAGAGCTCGTGCAGAACATTCACGTTTTAACACTGGCCTGGCAGTGAAGTCTTCTGCAAAGAGCAAATCCGAAAACACAACTTGATTTCCTTTTCTAAGTAATCCTTCAACAAAGCAGAAAGCTTAATGAATCTGCAGTTATACTTCAAAGGCAAACTCTGAAATTGTAATCAGCCACTTTTTAGTCAATCCAACGAAAATAGCGCACTCTTCACAGACTGACGTTGTTCCTGGAACTAGAAAATATAGTTAAAAATATTTGCGGTTTCGTTTCAGAACGTTTTCGATAAATTTTTAGCCCAGCAAGAGAGATTTTGGTCTAATGTTTTAACATTCGTTGCAGCTTAAGGTTGAAGGCGTTTTCTCGTCCAGAGGGGAAAAAAATTACGATTACAAAGAGTTGATAGTGAACTACGACAAACATTTCAATTTTCGTCTGATGTGCGTTGATGGTCAGTGCAGAGTTAGAACTTTGTTAGTTCTAGGTGCGAAAAGCGAACCGAAAAACGCCCATCTCTTAATCTTCTGAACAACAGTGAAAGGCTAAATGAGATAGCGCTATCACGCCATAGGCAAAGCCTAGAACTAAAATCAGCTACCTTACACCGACTCAAAACGTTGAAACTTTGCAGTGCAAGTGGCACAGTTCCTATAGTGCTAAAGCACTTAAGAAAATTTTAGTATCCGAATATGTTCAGCCAGTCTAGCGTCTGAGATTTGGACATTAACACATGTTCGTATGGAGGCTCTGCTTGAGCGTTGAAATCGTTTTCACGGCCAGAGGCGAAAATTGCGGTGAGCGCGACGTGAAAATAGGCGATTAACGGGAACAAGCGAGGGCCATCTGTCTTGTGCTTCTCTAATGATCTGCGCGCAAAATTTGTTAGAGTGGAGACAGGGGTCTGTTAGTCGAATAATCACATTTTAATTGAATTCTGTGCTGCATGACAAAGAAAGGCGAAAAAAAATTTCAAAGAAATGACAATACGAGACAAAGAATGGTTGATTTGCATTACTAGAGAAAATGGATTTAGCCGAGTTAAATCGACATCGCGGCATACATGTATGAGACGGGTAAACTAGAGGTCAAATTCTTTCACGAATGCTGTCTTAGGAATTGAAAATAACTCGATTTTCTTTGGTAATCTTGTTGCAGGTTTTCAACTTAGTGGAAAAGTTGTGGAGCAAGAAAATACGAGATACGGGACACAGCGGGAGGAATACAGTGTGTCCGTGGGATTCGATAGGTGTAAAATAACCGAGGTGTCGTGCACTTGTGGTAACAAAGACATTTTATGGTGCCCTCATGTAGTCGCTCTTTCGCTTTTCCGAATTCGCAACCCAGACAAGGTGACTCTTCGAGTGCCAATCTCAGAGACATTGCTTCAAATGAATCGCGAACAACTTCAGAAACTTTTGCAGTATCTTATAACAGAACATCACACAGAAGTCTTGCCTACTGCGCAACGATTGGCCGACGAGATTCTGCTCAAGACTTCGGAGATCAACCGCTTACCGGGCGCTCCTGATCCTACTGCGGGCGCCGGCGCGGAGGACGAAAGCTGTTGGCATTTAGATGCTGAACAAGTTAGGCAACAAGTTAGGAACTATCTCTCACAGGGAGGGTACTATGGCAGTGGAAAACATCTTCTATCTATGTTCGCCAAGGTAAGGAACATTCAAGTGTATTTAACAACAGTCTAGAATAAAATCCAGCTTGAAAACATAGCGATAAACCAATTAACGAAACCGGCACAAAGGAACGAGTATTGAGGTCGCTATAAGTACCATTTTGGGCAGCCTTTCGGTTTTCTTTCTTTCTTTCCTTTTTTTTTTGTCTGCCTTGTTGCCTGCTGTTTCAGGTTTTATATCTCTTACTTGTTGCAAAAGGACATTGCAATCTTTTAAACAAGAGGCAGGTTTTGAAAGGCTTCTCTAAACAAGCTAAGGCTCTAGAAACGAAATTGACGCATGTGGTACATTTTTTCCCCGTAGGTACGAGAAATGCTCCGTGTCCATGACAACAATGGCTCACGCATGCTCAGACTTATCACAGAACAGTTCCTTGCGGACCCAAGGCTCCAAATATGGAAAGAACAGGGCACCTCAATGAATGACAAATGCCGCCAACTGTGGGATCAGCTCGGTGCACTGTGGGTGTGTGTAGTTTTGAACCCGGACAGTACTCGAGTGGAAAAGGCCGCATGGAAACAACAGCTAGAAACCTGGAGCAGACAAGAAGTTTGCCCGTTAGAAAACCCGGATGCTCAAAGCGCAGATGAGAACGACGAAGTTGCAGACGAGAGTTGTACCCGCCGTACCGTGTTTTTCAGAGCAGTGCAAGCTTGTGACTTGGACTGGGAAGACTACGATTTGAAATGCATCATTGGCCGTGATGGAGATGATCAAGAAAGCGAATATTTGACATGGAAAGGTGAGGATTCGATGATAAAAAGTGCGAAAGAAATAGAACCACATAAAAGTAGTGTTCAACAGCTTTCATTGGAATGGTCACGCACTAGGGTTTCATCCACAGACTTACTGAAAAGTTAGAACCACTTTGCACAACATAGTTAACAGTACCACATGAAAGTACTGCTCAATAGCTTTCATTTGAATGGCCACACACTAAGGCTTCATCCACAGACTTGAAAGTTAGAGAAACCTTATACAGCAAAATAAACAGCACTCATGAATGTCCTCTTCAATAGCAGTCATTTGAATATTCACACTCTAGGGTTTTATCCCAAAACATAAACGTTTGCACCACGAATGTGATCCAACGACTGTGTACTGTGAATTTTATCATCTTTTCACATTACTTATCAGTCTTTATTTTTTGTTTGTTTTAACAGAGGACGTGCCCATGGCCGCTGCTCGGGTAGATGCTTTGCGGGCTCATGGTTATCCTCAAGAAGCTCTGCGATTGGCTGTCGCAGTCGCACGTGGTATGAAAGAAGAACAGCTGGAAAAAGTCTACGAGATGGAAGCTCTGTTGGAGAAGTTCACCGAGGAAGACATTGCAGAGAAACTTTGCGACGAAAACACAGAAAAAGACGAGTTTATAGAAGGCTGGATCGGACATCAACTGGATCCTATTGTTGTACTTTACGATACACTTATAGAGGAAGCTATTGGTCCTCAAGACATTGAATCAGACTCGATGGAAGACACAGAACTTCACGATATGAGAACGTTTACAAACGTTCCACTTCCGGAATACGGGACCGGAAATGACACTTTCTTGACATTAGCTCTTGAAGTGGCGCTCATGGGGCTTGGGCAACAACGAACAATCCCCCTGGGATTCTATGCCCAGGATAAAGCTTGTCGACAAGAAGAACATCTCATCGCGCAGCTAAATCTGCTGAACTTTGATAACGTGCTTTATCCTGTCCTCAAAACACAAACTGAACTTCTATTGAAAAGCGGTCCTTTCAGCAGTCTGGGACTCGGTGTGCAGAAAAACAGCATTCCTATGCACACATTCGCGCGATTTTTGTTCAGTAAATTTGTGAAGAAGGATTCGGACCTTGCTTTCAAGCTGGGCCTCCGTGCCATGCGTTTCCTGGCTTTAGATGACTTTACTGGGGACATTGCGGATGAGGAGATACCCTTAGTGGGCCCTTACAGGTCAACTCGCTTGTACACGCTGGGACACTTGCAATCACAGCAGTGCGAGCTCGCCTCACGCCTGCTCAACGCTGCTAAGAATTCCACTGACCGGTTACCAGCTATTCTACAAGCTTCGCAACAGCACATGCACTCTGCCCCTCAGCTCTTCCGACTCGCGCAGGACGCGTTCAAACTGTCCAGCGGTGAGACGTCGGAAACACGTGACATCGACATGCTACAGTTCGCGATGGAACTGGGACTGAAAGTATTGCGGATGACGCTCAACGCTCGCAACTGGCGACGACGCGAGATGGTGCAGTGGTTGATAGAGTGCGCTGTGGAAGCTGGCACGTCCGCCCTCAGTCTTGTCATGAAAAACTGGAGCACACTGTTCACGCCAACAGAGGCAACATCTTTGGTGGCGACCACAGTCATGGCGCCTGCCACAGCGTCACGCCTTGAACTCTCAGTAATCGAGGAAGAGGCGCTCCTGTGTTGCGCAAGAGCGCTGGCACTGCAGTGCGCCAGCCGGGATCCGCAGAGGTGCTCACTCTCCACGCTAACACTCTGTGAAAAGAACCCTGCTGCTTTCGAGGCCGCCTACCGCCTGGTTGTGGAGTCAGCAGCTGTGATACCTCCAACACAGCTCTTCGCAATTGCGCGGTACATGGATTACCGCGGCTACCCTCAGAGGGCCTTTAAACTCGCCACCCTGGCCATGAAACACTTCACCTTAGCTTACAATCAAGACAGCCACCCCTCCATAGGAGACATCCACTGGGCATGCGCTTTGTCCCAGGCTCTAGGCTACAACGAACTCACACAGATCATTCCGCTCATTATCAAAGCGGTGCACTGTCCGACGGTGCTGTCAGATCTGCTCTTCCGATGTACCCTTGCAAAAGCTGCCGCTGATGACGCCCAGAATGGGCAGCAGTATTTTATCAAGGACAACTGCGGGCTCAATTGTGACGAAGAGCCTCTTAGGCAACTTATGGAGGCCACCATCAGTGCCTATGTGAACACTGCACATAGCAGGCTGAATCACATCAGCCCCAAACATTACATGGATTTTGTGACATTCTTGAGCAAAGCACAGGAAACTTTTCTGTTAGCGTCGGACGGAAATGGTCGCTTCCAAGCGCTGATAAACAACATGAAGGTTTTGTACAAAGGAAAGAAGAAGCTTATGCAGTTAGTTAAAGAAACATTCGGATAAACTCCGCTCATTGGAATAAAGTTTGAAATATAAATTATTTATGAAATGAACATTCAAAATTGTGCTAAGAGATGAAATATTATTGCGTTGCGTTAGGCGATTAAGAGAAAATTGTATATATTATATAGCAAAATTTATGAAGAGTTCTTTCCCTCTCTCTGTTTCCGGCGCCTCTAAACTTCAAATAGAGAAACGAATGTTGCTTTGGAGCGCTGTTTACCGTTTCAGTTAATCAGTGTGCCCTTAGGAGTGGTTCAAATTAAAAATGTTTTCAAAGATTTATGCCGTCTGATGAGTATTGTGTCTCCGTGCGTGGGTGAACACATATTATTGTATATTTAAAATTAACGATAGTCGCGCTTTCATGCTTGGATGAAACCACAATACCAATATCCGAGAACGTCGGAAAATAAATTGCCCCTCTCCCTTAGATCTCTGACGCAAGACGTGGGCCTAATTATCACCCGTCTCCCAAAAATAACCTGCCCCCCTCCTCGCGCCGCCCTTGCCCCCACTTAGTTCCTGTTGTTTTTTACCCTTTGATGGCTGCAAATTTGTGTTGTGCCTTCTATATTGTCTGGCTTGGTTTTAACTAATCGGTACTGTTATCATGTCTGTTTTCTGCCACTTTCGAGTTCGTTCTGCTTTCAGAATAGGAGTGTGGGTTCCTTTCCCGATCGGCAGTTGGTACTCGAGCCTCTATTTGTACATGCGCCATGTTTCAGGTACAAAAAGGCTCACAAAACGCGGTATTCTTTTCAATATTTAGAGCTGCAATGATAGACGCCCGAAAAACGCACTTGGATCAAAAATAAAAGGTTCACTCAATCAAAAGAGAATGACGGTGAAATCTTGTCACGACATTTTACCGCCCTTGTTCGTTCGTCACGCAACGCATGCATCTTACTAGTGCAGTGCTGAAGTGCTGTGTCACGAAACAAATTACGGAAATTGGTCACCAGTGAAGTTACCAGGGAATTCTCGGACACACAGGGGTAATTCCTAAGACCCTTTTGACGAGTTTGAAAATCTTTAACTTGGCGGGGATGGAATAAAATTGCCTTGCAATCAGTTTCTTATCAGGGCAGTAAGGAATTGGCGCCAAGAGAAAAGAATAGAAAGGAAACAACAAAAACTCGAGGTTACAATGGGGCAAAGGACCACTAGAGCTATTCCAATTCACATGAACCAAGAGAATTTGAAGATTAAAAAATCGGTCTGTCATGTGCGAAAATAGTTCGCGATGAGACTTTGCGCCAGGTAATGTGATGGTAAGCATTCACCCAACTTCTTTCCTTCGCTTTTGCTACATGTATAACCCGTTTCATGTTGCGCAAAACAACGCTTGTTCCTTTGCTTGTTCTTGGGATTTAAAAAATGTGCTCACTTTTAACAGAATCCACAGACAGCAAAATAAATTACTTTCCAGTAACTTACAAAATCTTTATTAAAAGCAACTGCTTGTACCAGAAACTTTGTACACATTCCGCTGAAAACAGACATAAAACTAGAGTTCTGCAGTCGACGTCTTTCTCTTTTCTGGAGAGCCTGGAAGTCCACAACATGAAGAGCGCTATGATAGCTGTCACCGGTTGAAGAGTGAGTCGTTATTGCGCTTTCAGGATCGATTCATTTGAGCTTACTAGGCTCATCTGGCTCCACTTGGTTTCAATCGCTTAGAAGGAATACGATAGAGAAGCGACTAAAAGGATAGGAAACATGGGCACAGTCGAACCTTCACCAACAGCCACCTCTCTACAACGGCCACTGTCCTGTCCATAGGCTGGCCGTTGCGGGGAGGTTTGACTGTAGTTTTACACACAGTTCCATTAATAGCTTTATCGAGTTATTTTCGTCCACTGCTACGAGTAAAAGCCAATATTTGTTGACGAGAATCACAGACCAAACAAACGGCAACTTTGAGTATGTACCTGACCAACACCACAAACAGCTGAGCAAACGAAAATCTTCTCTTGTCGGAATCCTCTACCAAGAGTCGCTTGCGAGCGGGAGTTTCGAAGGGAACGTACGTTGCTAGGCGACAAGACGAATGATGCTGAAGTCACAACTTTCGGATTGTTCGTGCTTAATTGTGATTGGACATTGACAATCGGAACTCTTCGGGCACTCCGACGATTGGCCGAGCACGGCCGTTGTTACTCGACTGTACAGATAAAACAATGAGAATAAAATTATGTGAACGTTTGCTCATACCAATTCTTCATTGGAATCTTGACTCTCTTTCTTTCTTCAATCCATTATTGATACGAAACTTATTAAACTTGGCCATCGCTTGTCAGTATTTCCCTTTAGACTACAAGTCTATAAGTGATGTATCGACCTGCTGTTTCACTGGGACGAATGATCTTTACCACCTGTGGGCAAAAAATACCAATATCTAAGCACTATAATTATTAATTGTTGTTATATTTATCAGAAGCCACACACCTTTTCAGAACATGTAAATTCATTCTCTCCCTGTTTCACGCAACCGCTATTAGGAACGGACCATTATTTTTTTGACGGGGGACATTTCCAAAAAAAAATCCTGCACAGCAAAAAGTAAACGGCTGAAAAAAATCGAACAAGTGCTCTCTACTACCCAGGTCCTGTGTGTGACAAGCTATTGCCCACTAACAATAATCATGCACAACCTAACAGTGAGAAAGAAATTCATGCCCCAGAAAATTGCCCACCGCCCCCCACCCTGAAAAAAAAAGGTCCGTCCACTAGGCTCATAGTTTCTGTTGTTTGTTCTGTTGTTTTCTAAACCAATCATCTTGAGCCTCCTCTTAAACATGTCCATTCATTGGCCAGTTCATGGTCACGTGACATTTTGCTCCATCTCACCTGCCCTCTTTTGAGTCCAAAATACCGTGCCACCGGATCACCGGACTGGATACGAGGAAGTTGATGTTCCTTGAGTTTACTACAAATTTAGTTCAGGAAAACACTCCCTTTTAGTGGGACAGAATTTATGTTGTGAGAGAAAAATTGATCTGCATCAATTTTCTCAACATATGTCAATACCAAATCAAATGCACAGGTCAGATATGCAAGAGTTTCAGATTTGATTTCTGTGGTGAAAAATTTGAGACAGTCATAAAAATGTGAGGAGAGCCAACAAGAAATTACTTTTCACACCTGTTACATGCTATTAATGGAATGTTGTGCAATATTCTTATAAAAAAATATTAATAACAAATTATAAGATATTTTACCACACATGGTCAGAAAATGCATATGAAATCATTCAACAGTCATATCAACTTTGTTGGTCACTTTAACAGTTCTGGATCATAACACTCAAACCTGGGCTGTCTTGTTTTATGACTAGAATTGCCAAAACGTAATTTTGTGTAACAGACCCCACTGCAAGTTTATTGGTAGAAAAGAAAGTGTTTACATGAGAAAAGATTTCTGCTCGCACAGGGTTTGGGTTGGGACACAAACACAGCCACAGTTTAATTGTTTTGGGACACAAAAACAGGACTCTAAAAAAGTGCCGTCGAGTCATCTGGGGCAAGTAGATTGTCTTGCGTGCATTGAAGTAACTTTACATTCTCGTTTGTCCAATGGGCAAAGGCTCAGGTATGTTGTTGGTCAACTGAATCGATAAAGAGCAAATTAAGACTTGCCCAAGACAAAGGAAATTTAATAGCTACTTGTTTGAAGGACAAGCTCGAGTTCAAGTTTTTTTCAAGCCCTGAATATGGCTGCTGTGATGCCACGTGAAAAATACCCTATTGCAAAGATTAAGAGAAAAGTACACAGGGTTCTCATTTAATTAGGGAGTAGAGCACTTGTGTCATGACGGAGATGGTTGACACCAATTTGAGTGCCAAAGGGATAAGGTTCTAGGGAGGTTAGGGGGCACGCTCAGTTTGAAATTGAGAGGTTCTGAAATACTATCTTACACTTTCTCTTATAGATATTTCCTAATAAAAGAAATCAAATTTGGAAAAGGTCAAAATGCCAAGAATATCAAGGGACTACAAGGACTTTTTTCAACTTTTATCCTACAGGACTAGTGTAATTGAAAACATACACCACCCCCTGACCCCATGACTCTTCTTAGGACAGTCAAGGTTCAGTCATGTACCAAACAACCCATGTTTTCCCTAAATCACTCTTTACAACTTACACCTGTATTATTTCACGAATAGCAGACGGCTCAGAAATCAAAGTACATGTAGCCGGTTTTTTAGCCAGTGGCTGGCACTTAATAAGAACCTTTGAGTACAGCCTGCATGTATGTTATATCACTGCAATACTAAGGATACTATCTCTGAAGAAGTTCTGCCTTTTCATCCGGGGTCATGAGAACATGTTCTGGAATGAGCTAAATTTAGGAACAAAGGAAAACATGCCAAGTACAGTAAACATGGAGTTTAATATTCTAAAAAAAAAAAATTCACATGATTACCACCTCTGATTTAAGAAGTGCCCAAAAGCAAGTAAAGAATTAAGCACAATCAAACTGAAACAAGCATCGGGCATAACTAATTGCAATCTGTGCAAAATGCTTTATATATGCAGGGATGAGTCACCTGTAACCTTTATCTCACACCTATGACAAACTTGTTACAATGTAGGTGAATTGTATCAACAACAGGTAAGTTCACTTCGAACATCAAGGGCCCACCAAACACACGTGTACTTGGCCGTATAAACAGGTGTCATGGGTCATGGCCCTTAATGAAAGTCCTGCAAATACCCAAGGTGTGCAACAAAGGGTTCAATTCAATAACTGATGGATTATGGATGTTACCCTCCCTGTTAGTTGCACTGACAAATCTAGATGGAGCGACGTCCCTTTCATGACCAAGACAAGACCCATTTTCATTTCACATTTAAAATCTGGAGGATTTTACTATTAACGTCAACTTGACTGGGGGATTTGTTTCAAATTTTCAATATTAGGACCCTCGCAAGGCATTTTAAAGAACTCAGTAAGTAAATTGAATGGTTCCAAAGGTTAATTCATAATTTGTTCTAATTAAGGGCAAACAGTTCAACTAAAAACTATGCCTGGAGACTTACCTCGTGTTCTGTGATGTTTACCATGAGTTCTGCCTCCATGAATTGTTCCAAGATGTACTTTGGTGCTAGGTCAACCAATGACTGAAAATACATATATATGATTCATAATGATGTCAGTGTACTTTCCTTGATGACGGTAATGTAAATGTTTCACTGAGGAAAATGACATTTCTAGCTCTCTGCAGGCATTGCAAGCCTATGATAATTATAGATATTAACATAAAAATTTTGCCCCAGATTCTTGCAAGAGAGCTCAACTACACATAAGGAGGCATCCAGTCATGAACCCAGAAACAAAACTACAGAGTCACTTGTAATTTACCAGAGGGTATTGTACTGGACTTAAGATCTAACAGTCCAGATTAGAGCTCTGTGTGCATGCAAGTCTCACCTGCTTTGCTGACGGTGTCATTCCCATCTGCACAACTATTATTGCTCTGCTGATGTTTTCCTCTTGCATTCGGTTGCAATATCTGCAAAGAAGGAAACATTGTATGCAGTAAATAATGCAACAAAACTTATTGGCCTATGTATCTGCATCAATCATTTATTTTGTTTTTAAAAAAAATGTGCAACCGTAAAAGCTTCAACTGTGATATCTTTTTTCTTTCATGAATTCTAGTAGTATTAAGTATCAACAGATTAAAAAATTTCAAATTACATATTTTAATATTTAGGATAGTTACTGAACAATGTTTTACTCACTGTTTAATTGTTTTTATTCCAACTTTAGGCTCATCAGGAAAAAACACAAACATCTGGTCTGTAAAGTTCACACAAAAGTGATGTACATATATGTTAGGTGATTTCATTTTAAGTCTGCGTAGGGCCAAGTGGTCCATACCGCCAGAGCTTATCCCTGCTTCCCTAACATGAAGCTACTAGGAGTATTTCTACCCCTAAAGAGGAGATGCTAGTCCATTGCAGGGTTTCCCCCTGGCAACTAAATTTGCTGGTACCCGTTTATAGAGCTGGATGGAACAAGGCACTGTAAGAGTAAAGTGTCTTGCCCAAGACCACAAAGCAATGACCATGACCAGGGCTCGAACCCAAATTGCCCTACCTGGTGTCCAGCACCTCCCCATCCCAACGACATTCTCTTGGTAAACTTACCTATGAATGAATAAACTACACATATGTATAAAAGCTTAAAAAATCATTTCCTCTGGGACCATCTGTGATGTACAGAAAGTGCATCATAACATGCATGCCAGCCCTCTAACCAAAAAAGACACATTCCATACCAAATTTCCAAACAAATTATAACTTTGATCAGACAAAAGTAATTACAAGACTAATCTAGATTTTTTTCACTGTGATATGGTATGTTCAATGAACATTAATAATTATAATTATTATTGTAATTATTTTATTATATAAATAATAATTATTATATTTCATTGTTATGTACCAAGTTTCAACTGTTTGTTTGTTTGTTTATTTATTTATTTTTTTGCCATATACATGTATACATTAGAATTTGGCTAGTGGAATTACCAAATATATTTGAAGCTTACGGTCTATTAGGTTTGATTATGACATTTTTATTTCACATGAAGAGGATGATAGTATTGAAAACATCTCCATATTTACCTGTTGGGTCATCATTGTGTGCCACCAAAATTGATAAATCACTTCGTGAAGGTCTTCCTTCACTGAAATGTAACATAGAGTAAAAGAAAATTAACAGTGGGACAACAAGGAAACTGCAAACAACAAAATTATTAGTGGGATGCTATTGTGTTGCAAGGAAAACCTATTAGACATGAGATGAGTCATTTACACACCCGAGCCATAATGTATGTTATTTGCCGGCAGGGAAGTCCACATAGTGAAAAATTGTAACTGAGGTGTCCAAGATCACAGTTTTTCACTTATATATGGACCAGACTTACGCTGGTAAATAACTTAATATCTATTTTTTTCTTTGCCACACACACATCGCATGAGTGTTACTGTGGGCAGAGATAGGAAATTCTGCACTGCACTAAGAACCAAACAGATTGTAGGATTTGTTATGGTACCATGCCCTCTCAGAAAAAAATAAACATAATTAAATTGCCCTCATTTGATCTACGTTGTATGATATCATTGCTTGGGGCTTAAGCCAAAGTCAAAGTGTTCACACTTTTCAGATTGGCATGGTATAAATACTAAGCTACCTTGACCTGCTTATGTGACAACAACAAGTCAAGATAACATTCACGAACATGTCCAAGGATGTAATTGTAATAAAAATTGAATGATTAATGAATGTCCTTTATCTTGATGTCATTTATAAAAATGTGGATGAATGTTAAAAATAGAATAATTATTATCATTTCACCTTGGTCTGTCCCCAAACTGATCCTTAAATTGATCCAAAGTTTGATCGAGTTCATCTTGTGTGACCAGATAGCCTCTATCATGACACATCTTAAACACAAATGGAAATAAGGATGATCGTTATTTTATTATTTTTTACAGCAGTTTAGAAAATCAAGTTTAATAACAATAATAAATACTTTGTTTATACTGCAAAAATTATAGATCGGCTGAATTTAAATATAAAGACAGCTGGTATAAACCTTATGTGCAGTTGATAAAAACATTAAAACCTAAAAGGGAAGATTTGGTTGCAATAATTAACAACTATTAACTAAATGCTACATTTATACTGTATTCTGTCTTACTCTAACAAATACTGGAACATCATGCTAAAGTAAGTAAAGCGCAGTTAGCTAAATTGTTTTCCTGTCAAGCAAGCCCAGAAGCAGTATTAAAGCACAGTGGCATTGAACAAAAATTGAAATCCGTTCCATTTTTTCACAAGGCCTAGTTTCAAGACACGATTTTTTCAAGTGACAATCCGTCAAGTTGACAAAACAACAACTAAGGTTAAGCCAGTTGGTTACAAACGTGAGCAGATGGCAGTAATTTGCCGGCTTCCAAGTTGCACGTGGGAAGCATACGTACCGGACGATGTTAGGGAGAAACCTTCTCGAGAATATTTTCAATCAATCTTACCTGCATAACAGTTTTTCGGATTCTCCAGAACTTGTAAGTTAATTCTGTATCATCCATTCCGCAGTAAGGACTCTTTCAATCGCTCGATCGATTCACAGCAACTCGAAACTGATCAGTTCAGCCTGTGAGTGAGCCCACGATCAACAGCAGCATCAAACCACGTCAAATAACAGTCTTGAAAGAACACCCAACAGCCCCAGTTTCTCACGGTCCCGCCGAGCGCTGCATGGACGCGAAGAGGAAGAATGACGAAAAAACGCGAAAACAGCAGCTTTCTCATAATCCTACCGTGCTCAACTGCCTCTCATTCTCATGCACTCGACGAAGTAAGAAGAAAAGGCTACGGCTGTTTGTAATTGTAATTTCCCCTAGGTGTGCTGATCTACAACGTACAGTTCCCCAAACCAGGAGAAGGACCCCGATGTGAGGAGAGACGATTCTTTTTCTAGTAAAAGCGGGACAGGGGAGAAGAGAAGGAGCGCCCATCATTGCCCCACATTTAGGGTAGGGGTGCAATTTGAGCCTAGCACGTTTTCGTGCATAGCAGGGCCCAGTACTTTTATCCTAGATGTTGTTTAAAATGTTAAAAAATGTTTAATGTTGAACTGACGTCGGTATGGTGGTCAATCCGCTTAGCTACATCTAGCTAGTTCACAAGCCTGCCTCTCAAACTGACAGAAACAATATTTCAAATAGACATAATATGCTTAAAAATCGCAACTGGCGGGAGGCAGACCAGTTGGTTATTTACAAACAAGACCGAGAAGTTGAACTAGGGTCTACAGAGAAACAACTCCAGCTTAGTCAGAGCAGGGAACTTAAACTCCGGATTTTAAGTCCGGGCACGCGTCAAATTTTCGCGCCCTTTTACCGTACTCGACCCAGTCTACTGAATACGCATCCAGCCGTTGTAGCCGACCGTACTCGACTATCTTAAAGTCCTTAATGCTGCCTCCACTAACAGGCCAATTTCGATTTATTAAAATTCTAACCTGCTTCAGAGGCCTTGGGGAATAAAACAAAAGAAGTTAATTGTTCATCCCTCGACCTCGATTTGTCTTGTTTTATTCCCCCAAGCCTCGGAGCCAAGTTAGAATTTTAATATATCGAAAATGGCGTCACTGGCTGATCGTGACAAATCGCATCAATAGTTTGAGCTGGCAAAACGAGGAAACGGATTTCAGCCTAAATGGTTAATTACTTCCAGCTAAACATCTGCAGAGAAAATTTTTCATGGTCGCTCGCGTTAAACAGGGTTTGTAAATCATTTCAGTAACTTTTGGCTCAAAATATACTTCGAATTCCTTTCAAATCTTCAACACCATCACACTTTCTTCATGTGGAATACGAAGAAAACCAAAATTTTAATAGGGTATCGATCGTACCAAAGCAGTTGTGCCGAATGGTAACTGATCAAAAATCTCTATTAATATAGATAAACACCTAATCTGAACGTGGTTCAAGCTTTATTTGACCAATAAAAAATAGCACTTAAAACATAATAGGCTCGATTACCAGCCGCTGTTCAGGAAAGGAGCCTGCGCTAGAAGATCGGACTCGAGAGACGGACCCAAAACTAGCCTAAAAAAGAAAATAAGAGCATTTCTTTTATCATTACTTCTTCGAGTGCACCCTGAAAGATACTTTGACAGCTCAAAATAGTTTCATCATGAACACCCAAATCTTATACTCCTAAGCGTTGCCATCCACCAACTTTTTATATGGGAGACCCCCGGGAAAAATAGGATAAGTAAGTAACCTCGCTATAAAACGAAAGATTTATATTCCCTCCACGGGTTAAAAAGTATACCTTGCATTAGATACAATTCCATACTGTCTAGAAAATTACGTTGGCCAATTGAAAAAAAAACTGTCGAACTGCTCTAAAAACTTTATTGTGACAAATTCGTTATGTTATAAAAGAACATAAAAGTTCATGACTGAAATATGTACACCTAAATTATATGAAAAAATTCAGACGTATACATTAACCTTTCATTTTTTTCTAATTACGGAAACATTTCAATATGAAAATGTGCAAAATGTGTTCAGTGTTCATGGTGACATCGTGAAGTCAAATTTAAAGAAGCGAAGCTAGCTATGAATTCGCGCTTAAATAACTGTTGAAATAAGCGCTTCGATATAAGTTGACAAGATAGGTATATTAATGGCAAAAAAAGGTTCAGAAATGAAATTTCGTTTATCAGGTAATCGAGTTACTTAATGTTTAAGAAGGAATCCACCAGAAGTTCGAGTAACAAGTGGACAAAACCTTGGAACCGAGATTATTTACACGGTATTGGAAACTTCTGTGCGACTGTTTTAAAAGAAATTAATTTGAACTTCGTATGAATCACTTGAAAGAACTGGTGAAAATGAAACTGACGATGATATTTTACCTGTGTTTGCACAATTTCTCAGAACTTCGAAATTTATTTTCGCGAGTTTCTCCCTTGGGAAACTGTTTTCAGTGTTATTTTAGGCAACTATTTATATCTTAAGCTTTAAGAAAACGTAAAAATGACTGTGAAATAACTAAAATTATTCTGGTACCAGGTTTTTATCCACTAAATATCGAAATTGCTCGATTTCCTATCAGATTTCGCCTTAATTTTTCCCTTAGTTTTATTCTGAAATGTTCCCGTAAATACTAGAAATACATGAATATTCTTGACGTATTTGTCTGTTACAAGCAAGAACTTACTGTTTGGAATTCCAATAAAGTATGGGATAGCTATGTTAAGCTATGGTTATATATTCAAATTGGTGAGCTTGGAGGAGACCAAACACACATGCGTTAAATGATTATAAAAGTTAATCAGTGAAAAGCGAACACAATAAACATGAGTTAGCAACGGTCCGTGTCATTAAACGACATTGGTCTTGGACCAGAAAGAATTTCCAGATCGCATTGATAAATCGTCATCAGCGGCTGGGTTGTAGTGACTCCCAGACTGGGACAGGTCGTGAAGGGACATCGTAGGTGTCCAATTTCCATCGGACTGGGGAAGTCCTTTCTCTGGTAGTTTTAAGGTGTGATCCATGTGATAGGCCTTTCCATTGGCTGGTGTTTCCTCTTTGTACCCGTATGCGCCACTCGCACGGTGACCATTAGGTTTGTCTGGTTTTTCCACCATGGGGTAGTCTGTTCGGTCCAGGTCATAGACGTGATCCATGTGGTGCTCCATCTGGTAGGCTGCAAACGGGTACAAGACCATCACTGCAAAGAAATCCTCCACGCTGTTGCCATAGATATTGTACCTCAAGCGAATGGAATAGCGAATGGATGTGGCGTAGGCGAAGAAGCCCATCAGTATAGCCCAACCAACGTAGGAAATTGCGTCTACAGCAGGCTCCACCGCCATCAGAATGATCCAGAGGTAAAACATGACCGCAAGGATTAACATGTACACCCATCGAGGTTTCTCGTTTTTGCCACTGATCTTGTAGGCAGCATTTCCCATCGAATACCAAGGTGCAAATGTGGCTAGTAGAACCTTGCCGACGCTTCCTTTTGTTGGACTGCTCAGGACGTCCAAAAGACTGGTGCTGAACTGCGGACCATGTGGATCAAGGTCACCGCCCTCCATCTTCACAGCACGCCATAACGCTACACACATGAAACAGAGAAGTACAGTGTACGGGACACCGGAGGCGATTGACATGGACTGCAAGGCTACAAGCCCTTCTTCGCCTCCTGCATTCAGCAGCGCTGTAGCTGTTGCGCCTTCTGTCAGGGCCCAAAAGACACGCTGGGCGACAGGGGGTTCCGGGTCGCCATTTGCTGAGAGGCAATCGATCACAAGAGAACCACTATCGGAACTGGTGACGAAATAGAGGATAATACTCATGAGTGAAATAACAGAGAGGAACGTTCCTAGGTCACCATACTGCTGCACGACATCAAACCACATGTCGTTCTTTCCTCTGCAGGACAAGCGGTACAGGCCTTTATATGGAGCCAAGGATCCCCTTCCTCCCATTATGGAGTCGCACGTTATGTTTGCAACCGCAGCATCTCGTTCCATCTTCAAGCCTTGGCCACCAAAAATGCAAAACCACAAGAATGCGTACAGGATCGGTGCTGTCATTGTGCCGTTGATGAACTGTCGGATGGTTCTTCCCTTGGAAATCTTCGCAATAAACATGCCCACAAACGGAGACCAGGCGATCCACCATCCCCAGTAGAAGATGGTCCAGTCATTCATCCATCGCTCCGCCTGCTTGCCATCGGGCGCATTTCCCAGTTGTGCAAAAGCATCTGTGTGAAATCCAAGTTGCACGATCCACTGTAAGTAGTAACCAATGCTCTGTACGTACACATTCAATGAATGCCAAGGGTTGTCGTAGAAGAAGCCAATCAGCATGATGAACATGCCCAGCGTGAAGCAGATCTCGCTTAGCCGACGGATGCCAACCTTCAAGCCACTTACCACAGACGCCGTGGCGCATGCTGTAATTGACCAAATGATGATGACTTGGTTGGTCCCGCTGTTTTCAATGTCTGGATTGAGACGATGAAAGCCATTGTTGATCTGCATGCAGCCAACTCCAAGACTGGTACACACACCAAACATGGTGCACACCACAGAGAAGATGTCTACCGCATCACCCATCCAGCCGTAGATCTTATCACCAATAAGTGGGTAGAAACAGGAGCGGATGGTCATAGGAAGGCCTTTTCTGTAGCCCACGAAGGCGAGAAGGAGACCCACTACCACATACACGATCCATCCGTGGACGCCCCAGTGAAACAATGTCAAGTTGATGGCGTCCTGGGCACGTTGATTGTCGCTGTATCTATATAGGAAAAAATGCAGTAAAGTGAAGAGCTGACTGAGAAACAGCTATAGAACAGTTTGGTACCATAGTGAAGTAAAGCCTGCATCGGCTTATCTCCGGTTTCAGGGGCATGAAGCGACTAGGAGTATTTCTACCCCCTCCCCCTCCCCCCTCCCCCGATGGTGATCGCAGGGCTAGCTCCATCCCTAGCATTAAATCCGCCAGTACCAATTTATACACCTGGGTGGAGAGAGGCGTTGTGAGAGTAAAGTGTCCTGCCCAAGAACACAACACAATATCCCTAGCCAGGGCTCGATTCGGAGGCGAGCGCACTAACCATGAGGCCCCCGCGCCTCCACTTCTACCGTTTGGTACCATACCGTAGCCAGATTCGCAATAAGCCAATCAGAACTTAATTATTTGAAAAAATCTCACCACCTGTTCTTTTGTACTCTAAAGAAAAAACATGGCACTTAGAGTTTTCCAGTTTTTTAGTCTAAAAGTTTTACTGGCTATTGGAGGATGAAGTCAACAAATTTGTAATTAGACAATGTTTTTGCCTGATGTCATAATACATGAATAAAGCCCAAGTGGGTGACTGTGTACGTGTACAGGATCGACACAATTAAAAAAATAAAAAAAAAGAAGCAAAAAGAAGTCATATTTACCTGCCCCAATAACGGTTTCCATAATCTCCTGGTTCATAATGCCATACAGGTTCAGCTGCAAGGTAACGAACCATGTAAGTTTAATAATAATGTTATTGCATGATGAAGCAGTCATCTATTAGTGCGATACAAGACACTAGACCGTAAAACAAGTAAGTTGAAAGGTCTTGTTGTTTATCAAAATGTACACGGCACGGTGATCAAATAATACGCAACTTTGGCAAAGTTTTAAAAACATCTGTACAGATTTTTTAAAACTTTGCCAAAAGTTGCGTCTTATCATGATTATTAAAATTTGATGACATTAAAAAAAATTCACTGTGCCGTTTTTGAATTATAAGCCCCTAAAGCTGTTATTATGGGTGTTTTTAACAGGTCATACTGTTGTTATGGTAACACATTGTGTCACGAAAATGATAACAACGTGTTCACCAATGATCGGGTGGTTATTAGATACCATTATTGTAGCTTCAAGTGCTAAAAAGTGGTTGTAACGACCCATCAAAATATAAGTGCTGGAAACTGTTAAGGAACTACGTCACAGTGCGCGCATCTTAAAAAGTTAAGTTTCCCCTAAATCTTTCAAGTTCGTCGTTTGTCATCCATGTCAATCTTTTCCATCCTTAACCATCCTTGTTCCTGTATCGTTTACTGTCATCTCTTTGATGTTTTTCTATCTTGGAAAAGTACTATTTTCAGGTTTCCTTCAATTTAAAGGTAATTTTGCACGTTGTCAAAATTGATGAAAATTTCGTGACCGAGCTCCTTTGCTTCTTTCAAAAAAGAACATCGACCGGCTTTAGGTGTATGGCATTTTTTAAACATTCGACCTAGAGTTTTCAATTCGTCTCAGCGTTGTTTTTCAGTCTTCCAGATCTTGGTTAACCATCCCTTCCTCATTTCACTCTATGTTTCCTTCTCATTGTTTTCATAACTAACTCAACGTTCTTTAGGAAAGACCGCCTAACCGCAAACAGGTATTGACCAAGAGGTTTATCAAACGTTAATAACATCGTATTTACATGTAGTTTGTTTGGTTTAGCAGAACATGAACTGTCGGCATTTAAGTCAAGAACTTTAACTCATTATTTATTTTTGACTGTCTGCCAACTTTCAACTGGACCAATGATTTGTTTCGTTCTGTACGGATAAACAAGGCAAGGGTCAAGATAGCAGTAACTAAATCAGTCTTATCACGATGACATTGCAAGTAGAAACGCAGTGGTGCGGTAATTTAATTTCACTAATAAAAAAAAACTAAAATTAAGGGCGTAAGCTGCGTGACTGTCGCCGATTGAAAAATTGCTAGTGACAGAGAAGACGCAGCAATTCTATTGTCGTCAATTTTAGTCCCTTTAGTTCTCTTGTTGCCTTCAGTTGTATTTAGTTGTACCCAGTTGTATATTTTAAAATAATTCGGGTAAAGATGACCCGCCTAGATTAGCTCAGCTACCCGCGGGCATGTTATAATTGTAATTTTAATTTGAAAACAAAAATAAAATTTATGTTTGTTCTGTATGTCGCGCATACCATGGTCATTAAAAGTCACATCGATACACTGTAACCAAACGAATGAAAGCCATTTATCGTTTAGACCCGGCAATAGGCCACGTTCGATATATCAAAACTCTAACATGGCTCCGAGACTTTCCGGACAAAATTGCAAAGTTGTTGAGTTTCCTTTGTGTTTCAATTCCTAAAGGAGACTTGGACGTAAAGAAAGCACCTCCAAATATAGAAGTTTGTCCTGATCTTGAAAGTCTCGGAGCCAGAATATTGATATATCGATACCACGTGACCTATTGACTTTGCGCAAGTCTCTGATCTCTTGAATACAGTTTACTTTGAAATCATCGGATGCAGCTTCAAATTGAATTGAACATCAGGCGAAAATACCACTTCTCCATACCGTCCCTTATTCATAGCTCATGGTATTAACTGGAAGGATTTGTAGAAATATCAAGATATAATGACATTCCAATGGCTACTGTGATCGTGTTTGTGATTGTCTTGACAATAAATATGCCGGTTTATTATTCTGGTATTACGAGCATTGATTCAATATTTGACGCACAATAGGCTTGTAGTTGAAGTGTTCCTAGCAGATACTTGTGACCAGCTTGAAGCGGTTTAATTTCGGGTTATATATATGCTCTTTTTAAAATCCTTTCACAACAAACCTAATTCATCTGCTTTCGGATTTGCTTCGAAACTGAATTGATAATTTATTCTTTGTATTGTATTGTGTTTTTGTTATGTCTTAGATTTAGAAATGCAATTCTGATTTGCTTCGTAACAGAATTGATAATTTATTCTTTGTATTGTACCCTGTTTTTGTTATGTCTTAGATTTAGAAATGCAATTCCTTGGTTGGTTATTTAAGCGACTAATGCTGAAGAATATTTAGCCAGTGAGAACTTGTTCTTTCGTTTTACTTTAAAAATGGACTTTGAACAAATGAATCTACAGTGAGTCTACAATGTCGCATGAGGTAGACATGTGGGTAAGGTCAAACGCGCCTAAATTTTGAAAAGGTTATGACACGAAAACAGATGATTGTTATGCATGAAGGCATCACTTGGGTCGTTGTTTCCGAGTACGAAAAATTTCCGCTTAATGACATGACGCACATAGGAAAAAACCAACCGCAAGACATATTTCGTTACAAAAGTTTATATCACATAGAGTACACATATATGGTATGATCTTGAACGCACGGGTCACGTACGTATTTTTATTGACCGTTTAAGTTGGCAAAGTAAAACCACGGATATTTTCTCTGAAGCGGAACCACTATTAGCATACTTAATAAATGATTTCACATTCCTTTAATTACAAGTAGAAACCTGCTCCTTCGATATAAGCATTCACCAGCCCTGTAGATAGTGGATAAATAAGCAAAGTTTAACGAACTATACCGCAGGCCAAAAGACTTACCCACTCCGAAGTAAAACAAGCCAATCCCGATGCCGGCAGCAAACAACATTGTGAAGTATGTCAGGTCATTAAAGTCCGGTTTGTCATCAGGTTTTCCAAGTTTCATTTTACCATACTTGGAGAAGTAGAGGACAATAATAAACAGAAACCACACATCTTGGGTGCCGATGTACATCCAGGTGAACACCTCTGTGATCCACAACATCCATTTGGACATCTCGCGGTTAGCGACGTCGGCTTGGACTGCGCACCAAATTACGAAGAACCAGATGATTGCAGCGGATAAAAATGTCACCACCGGGTTGAAACGCAGGAATATTCCAATCTTTACGTTTCTGATAGTTCCCCATTTCCAGTTGACGCGAAGCCAACGGAACCTCTCTGAGGCATTTTCGTCTATCTCCATGTTGCCCGACCGGCGAAGACTAAACAATGTGAAACTACTAGAGCATGTTTGTTGCGTGCGTTTCCACTTAAAAAAGTCCGCCCCTTGAATTAATTGCCACCTAACGGGCCAATGCCATGATACGTTATGTTTAACAAAGAATGATTTGACAGCATCCATTTTTTTAAGGCTGGAAAACTACGGGGCTTATTATTTGAACTGCGCTAGTGGAACGCTAGTTAGCCGTTCACTCGTTTAAAATAGGGCTCACCATAACTTTTACTTCAATCAAATAGCGATTTCAAAGCTTAAGACTTTTAATTCAAGTTTATATCACAGCCACTATTCATCTTAGAAGACGGATAACTTTTATAATGCGTCTAACATTAGATCAGTGTGGAGGTCGCATAACTGTACGTAATTTTATCCAGACATCCAAAATTATCACAAGACCAGATGTTTTTCATCTTTTTGAGGAGCATGCTGCCACCTTTGACCAAAACAAGCGGGCACTGATCACGATTCCGTCTGGCGTTTTGCCGTCGTACGTAGTTACTTCGACGTGACTGACTAATAAAATGATAAAACCGACGCACGAAGTTGTTAAGTGCGTGTAAGTTTATTGAAATAAGTCATGTTCGAGTTAATTCTTCGGCCTCTACTACAAAGCAAGTCCAGTTACACAAGCAACCATTCACATGGAAATGAGAATGATTTTGAATTTTTATTTAACGATTATGTATTTAGGTAACACCATTTATATGGGAATACCAATAAATTGTTGNACGTTCCTAGGTCACCATACTGCTGCACGACATCAAACCACATGTCGTTCTTTCCTCTGCAGGACAAGCGGTACAGGCCTTTATATGGAGCCAAGGATCCCCTTCCTCCCATTATGGAGTCGCACGTTATGTTTGCAACCGCAGCATCTCGTTCCATCTTCAAGCCTTGGCCACCAAAAATGCAAAACCACAAGAATGCGTACAGGATCGGTGCTGTCATTGTGCCGTTGATGAACTGTCGGATGGTTCTTCCCTTGGAAATCTTCGCAATAAACATGCCCACAAACGGAGACCAGGCGATCCACCATCCCCAGTAGAAGATGGTCCAGTCATTCATCCATCGCTCCGCCTGCTTGCCATCGGGCGCATTTCCCAGTTGTGCAAAAGCATCTGTGTGAAATCCAAGTTGCACGATCCACTGTAAGTAGTAACCAATGCTCTGTACGTACACATTCAATGAATGCCAAGGGTTGTCGTAGAAGAAGCCAATCAGCATGATGAACATGCCCAGCGTGAAGCAGATCTCGCTTAGCCGACGGATGCCAACCTTCAAGCCACTTACCACAGACGCCGTGGCGCATGCTGTAATTGACCAAATGATGATGACTTGGTTGGTCCCGCTGTTTTCAATGTCTGGATTGAGACGATGAAAGCCATTGTTGATCTGCATGCAGCCAACTCCAAGACTGGTACACACACCAAACATGGTGCACACCACAGAGAAGATGTCTACCGCATCACCCATCCAGCCGTAGATCTTATCACCAATAAGTGGGTAGAAACAGGAGCGGATGGTCATAGGAAGGCCTTTTCTGTAGCCCACGAAGGCGAGAAGGAGACCCACTACCACATACACGATCCATCCGTGGACGCCCCAGTGAAACAATGTCAAGTTGATGGCGTCCTGGGCACGTTGATTGTCGCTGTATCTATATAGGAAAAAATGCAGTAAAGTGAAGAGCTGACTGAGAAACAGCTATAGAACAGTTTGGTACCATAGTGAAGTAAAGCCTGCATCGGCTTATCTCCGGTTTCAGGGGCATGAAGCGACTAGGAGTATTTCTACCCCCTCCCCCTCCCCCCTCCCCCGATGGTGATCGCAGGGCTAGCTCCATCCCTAGCATTAAATCCGCCAGTACCAATTTATACACCTGGGTGGAGAGAGGCGTTGTGAGAGTAAAGTGTCCTGCCCAAGAACACAACACAATATCCCTAGCCAGGGCTCGATTCGGAGGCGAGCGCACTAACCATGAGGCCCCCGCGCCTCCACTTCTACCGTTTGGTACCATACCGTAGCCAGATTCGCAATAAGCCAATCAGAACTTAATTATTTGAAAAAATCTCACCACCTGTTCTTTTGTACTCTAAAGAAAAAACATGGCACTTAGAGTTTTCCAGTTTTTTAGTCTAAAAGTTTTACTGGCTATTGGAGGATGAAGTCAACAAATTTGTAATTAGACAATGTTTTTGCCTGATGTCATAATACATGAATAAAGCCCAAGTGGGTGACTGTGTACGTGTACAGGATCGACACAATTAAAAAAATAAAAAAAAAGAAGCAAAAAGAAGTCATATTTACCTGCCCCAATAACGGTTTCCATAATCTCCTGGTTCATAATGCCATACAGGTTCAGCTGCAAGGTAACGAACCATGTAAGTTTAATAATAATGTTATTGCATGATGAAGCAGTCATCTATTAGTGCGATACAAGACACTAGACCGTAAAACAAGTAAGTTGAAAGGTCTTGTTGTTTATCAAAATGTACACGGCACGGTGATCAAATAATACGCAACTTTGGCAAAGTTTTAAAAACATCTGTACAGATTTTTTAAAACTTTGCCAAAAGTTGCGTCTTATCATGATTATTAAAATTTGATGACATTAAAAAAAATTCACTGTGCCGTTTTTGAATTATAAGCCCCTAAAGCTGTTATTATGGGTGTTTTTAACAGGTCATACTGTTGTTATGGTAACACATTGTGTCACGAAAATGATAACAACGTGTTCACCAATGATCGGGTGGTTATTAGATACCATTATTGTAGCTTCAAGTGCTAAAAAGTGGTTGTAACGACCCATCAAAATATAAGTGCTGGAAACTGTTAAGGAACTACGTCACAGTGCGCGCATCTTAAAAAGTTAAGTTTCCCCTAAATCTTTCAAGTTCGTCGTTTGTCATCCATGTCAATCTTTTCCATCCTTAACCATCCTTGTTCCTGTATCGTTTACTGTCATCTCTTTGATGTTTTTCTATCTTGGAAAAGTACTATTTTCAGGTTTCCTTCAATTTAAAGGTAATTTTGCACGTTGTCAAAATTGATGAAAATTTCGTGACCGAGCTCCTTTGCTTCTTTCAAAAAAGAACATCGACCGGCTTTAGGTGTATGGCATTTTTTAAACATTCGACCTAGAGTTTTCAATTCGTCTCAGCGTTGTTTTTCAGTCTTCCAGATCTTGGTTAACCATCCCTTCCTCATTTCACTCTATGTTTCCTTCTCATTGTTTTCATAACTAACTCAACGTTCTTTAGGAAAGACCGCCTAACCGCAAACAGGTATTGACCAAGAGGTTTATCAAACGTTAATAACATCGTATTTACATGTAGTTTGTTTGGTTTAGCAGAACATGAACTGTCGGCATTTAAGTCAAGAACTTTAACTCATTATTTATTTTTGACTGTCTGCCAACTTTCAACTGGACCAATGATTTGTTTCGTTCTGTACGGATAAACAAGGCAAGGGTCAAGATAGCAGTAACTAAATCAGTCTTATCACGATGACATTGCAAGTAGAAACGCAGTGGTGCGGTAATTTAATTTCACTAATAAAAAAAAACTAAAATTAAGGGCGTAAGCTGCGTGACTGTCGCCGATTGAAAAATTGCTAGTGACAGAGAAGACGCAGCAATTCTATTGTCGTCAATTTTAGTCCCTTTAGTCCTCTTGTTGCCTTCAGTTGTATTTAGTTGTACCCAGTTGTATATTTTAAAATAATTCGGGTAAAGATGACCCGCCTAGATTAGCTCAGCTACCCGCGGGCATGTTATAATTGTAATTTTAATTTGAAAACAAAAATAAAATTTATGTTTGTTCTGTATGTCGCGCATACCATGGTCATTAAAAGTCACATCGATACACTGTAACCAAACGAATGAAAGCCATTTATCGTTTAGACCCGGCAATAGGCCACGTTCGATATATCAAAACTCTAACATGGCTCCGAGACTTTCCGGACAAAATTGCAAAGTTGTTGAGTTTCCTTTGTGTTTCAATTCCTAAAGGAGACTTGGACGTAAAGAAAGCACCTCCAAATATAGAAGTTTGTCCTGATCTTGAAAGTCTCGGAGCCAGAATATTGATATATCGATACCACGTGACCTATTGACTTTGCGCAAGTCTCTGATCTCTTGAATACAGTTTACTTTGAAATCATCGGATGCAGCTTCAAATTGAATTGAACATCAGGCGAAAATACCACTTCTCCATACCGTCCCTTATTCATAGCTCATGGTATTAACTGGAAGGATTTGTAGAAATATCAAGATATAATGACATTCCAATGGCTACTGTGATCGTGTTTGTGATTGTCTTGACAATAAATATGCCGGTTTATTATTCTGGTATTACGAGCATTGATTCAATATTTGACGCACAATAGGCTTGTAGTTGAAGTGTTCCTAGCAGATACTTGTGACCAGCTTGAAGCGGTTTAATTTCGGGTTATATATATGCTCTTTTTAAAATCCTTTCACAACAAACCTAATTCATCTGCTTTCGGATTTGCTTCGAAACTGAATTGATAATTTATTCTTTGTATTGTATTGTGTTTTTGTTATGTCTTAGATTTAGAAATGCAATTCTGATTTGCTTCGTAACAGAATTGATAATTTATTCTTTGTATTGTACCCTGTTTTTGTTATGTCTTAGATTTAGAAATGCAATTCCTTGGTTGGTTATTTAAGCGACTAATGCTGAAGAATATTTAGCCAGTGAGAACTTGTTCTTTCGTTTTACTTTAAAAATGGACTTTGAACAAATGAATCTACAGTGAGTCTACAATGTCGCATGAGGTAGACATGTGGGTAAGGTCAAACGCGCCTAAATTTTGAAAAGGTTATGACACGAAAACAGATGATTGTTATGCATGAAGGCATCACTTGGGTCGTTGTTTCCGAGTACGAAAAATTTCCGCTTAATGACATGACGCACATAGGAAAAAACCAACCGCAAGACATATTTCGTTACAAAAGTTTATATCACATAGAGTACACATATATGGTATGATCTTGAACGCACGGGTCACGTACGTATTTTTATTGACCGTTTAAGTTGGCAAAGTAAAACCACGGATATTTTCTCTGAAGCGGAACCACTATTAGCATACTTAATAAATGATTTCACATTCCTTTAATTACAAGTAGAAACCTGCTCCTTCGATATAAGCATTCACCAGCCCTGTAGATAGTGGATAAATAAGCAAAGTTTAACGAACTATACCGCAGGCCAAAAGACTTACCCACTCCGAAGTAAAACAAGCCAATCCCGATGCCGGCAGCAAACAACATTGTGAAGTATGTCAGGTCATTAAAGTCCGGTTTGTCATCAGGTTTTCCAAGTTTCATTTTACCATACTTGGAGAAGTAGAGGACAATAATAAACAGAAACCACACATCTTGGGTGCCGATGTACATCCAGGTGAACACCTCTGTGATCCACAACATCCATTTGGACATCTCGCGGTTAGCGACGTCGGCTTGGACTGCGCACCAAATTACGAAGAACCAGATGATTGCAGCGGATAAAAATGTCACCACCGGGTTGAAACGCAGGAATATTCCAATCTTTACGTTTCTGATAGTTCCCCATTTCCAGTTGACGCGAAGCCAACGGAACCTCTCTGAGGCATTTTCGTCTATCTCCATGTTGCCCGACCGGCGAAGACTAAACAATGTGAAACTACTAGAGCATGTTTGTTGCGTGCGTTTCCACTTAAAAAAGTCCGCCCCTTGAATTAATTGCCACCTAACGGGCCAATGCCATGATACGTTATGTTTAACAAAGAATGATTTGACAGCATCCATTTTTTTAAGGCTGGAAAACTACGGGGCTTATTATTTGAACTGCGCTAGTGGAACGCTAGTTAGCCGTTCACTCGTTTAAAATAGGGCTCACCATAACTTTTACTTCAATCAAATAGCGATTTCAAAGCTTAAGACTTTTAATTCAAGTTTATATCACAGCCACTATTCATCTTAGAAGACGGATAACTTTTATAATGCGTCTAACATTAGATCAGTGTGGAGGTCGCATAACTGTACGTAATTTTATCCAGACATCCAAAATTATCACAAGACCAGATGTTTTTCATCTTTTTGAGGAGCATGCTGCCACCTTTGACCAAAACAAGCGGGCACTGATCACGATTCCGTCTGGCGTTTTGCCGTCGTACGTAGTTACTTCGACGTGACTGACTAATAAAATGATAAAACCGACGCACGAAGTTGTTAAGTGCGTGTAAGTTTATTGAAATAAGTCATGTTCGAGTTAATTCTTCGGCCTCTACTACAAAGCAAGTCCAGTTACACAAGCAACCATTCACATGGAAATGAGAATGATTTTGAATTTTTATTTAACGATTATGTATTTAGGTAACACCATTTATATGGGAATACCAATAAATTGTTGTTGTTGTTGTTGTTGATTTGCAAGACAACGAAGTTACTTGCAAAAAAAACCCATTTCCATTTGAAAGGTTGGACATGAAGAGGTAAGGCCAACTTGGGAATGATTCGTTCATTTTTGGATCAACCGTATTTATTTCAGCGTACAAGACGTCACAAGATTTACTTGTCTGAGACGTCTTACGGCATAACACGGTGGATGGCTGAAGTATTCACTGGTACATTTTCACTGATTTTCAGCGGCTAAAACGGTATACTACCATATACCGATACAGCGCATCTTAGCTCGGAGGCCTTTAAACAAAGACTTCAATTAAATCAGTCTTTTGTATTTTTTTCTTAATAGGGCTGTTTTCACTTGAGGGTCGAAATATAAATGGTCTATGATGGAAAAACGTTACTCTGGTTTAAAAAATGTAAAAATATTAGTAAAAATGTTTTGTAAAATTCCCAACGTTTCGGCTAAAACTTCAGCCTTCATCAGGGGAAAGTGACAAAAAATTTGTTAAAAAGGCACGTTCTTATACTATGCAAATCGGCAAATCGG